CAAAAAATTACTGTAACCAAGCAGCTACTGAGCGTCAGGGCTGCAGAACAGACTCGGGAACTGAACTGCAAACCCCCGCCCCCACCCACTACCAGCCAGAATAGCACAGAATACTTAAGCTTGCAAAACACAAACATCTGTGCCAAGCTAGTGTTACATTTTTTTCCCACCAATCAGGAGAGGAGTTGGTTCCTGGGCCTGGGAACCTGAACTTAGTTTGACTCTGCCAGCAAGATGGAGAAGTCATCCTTGAGATAGCTGGGCTCAGGCAACTGTCTCCTTACAACAGAAGCTGTTCAGCCACTGGGAAGTCCCCAGCTCCTCTAGGGCCTGGGACCTTGAACTTTGTTTTCTGCTATGATTAAATGGCGTCTGAAAACAAAATGGTAGTTCTAAGAATAAGTTTCTTTTGCTTGTTTCCAACAGGATTAGGCTTGGAGTTGTAATAGGGTCTTTCCAAAGTAAAAACAGGAGATTTTTGATTTGAGAGTGTCTAAATAGAAAATTTGAAAACCTTCTTTTTCTATTTTTTTTTTTTTTTTAATAAGTACTTACTTGCTATGTAGCTCTGGCTGTCCCAGAACTTATAGGCTGGGTTTATCGGCATATAACTGAGTCTTAAAAATATTTTACCTAAGCTGGATATGGCACACGCCTTTAACCCCAGTTCCTTGAGAGGCAGAGGCAGGCGGAGCTCTGAGTTTGAGGCCAGGCTGGTCTACAGATTGAGTTCCAGGACAGCCAAGACCACACAGAAAGAAACCCTGTCCAAAAAAAAAAAAATATATATATATATATATATATATATATATATATATATATATATATTGTTGTCTGTTTCCTCTAATATATATTTCTGCTATAGCCTTTCCCATCCTGGAATTATCTCATACTTGGCATTATCTCAGAGTTCACCTAACTTCAAGGGGTTTTGGTTTTATTTTTGCTTTTTGAGACAGGATCTCTCTGTGTAGCCCTAGCCATCTCTGAACTCTCTATGACATACATGGAGTCTGTGTAGACCAGGCTGGCCTGGAGCTCACAGAGATCTACCTCTGCCTCCCAAGCAGGGATTAAAGGTGTGCATCACCATGCTGGCCTCTGTTCTGTTTTTACTATTTCTTCTGTGTGTAGGAGGGGTGTGTGTGTGCGGTTTCTGAGCTCAGTGTTGGCGGTGGGGGCGTGGAGTATGTGTCCTGTGATGTGTTCGGGTGATGGTGTGTGTTTGTGTGTGTTGTATACATGTATGTGTGTACGTGGGTGCACCCAGAGGCTAGAGGAGAAAGTTGGGTGTCCTAGTCCATCACTCTCTGCCTTCCTCCCTTGAGGTGGTATTTCACCGAATAAGTGGGCAGCCAGCAAGGCCCCGTGACTCTCCAGTCTCTGCCGCACAGCCTGAGGTCTGGAACGCAGGCCTTCCTGTGTGTGCAGCAAGTACTCTGACCAACTGACCATCGCCTCATGCCCCTGGTTGATTTGTTTTAGGAGATGGTGAGGTTTCTGTGTTTTCTTACTGAGCTTCTGTGTGGAGAGTTTCTATTGCTCTTTGTGTTTTTAAGTTCATTTTTACTTCTGCTTTTTATTCCTGGGTTGGAGAGTCAGACTGCCTATTGCTTTGTGGCTGGGGCCCTCAGTGTGGGTTCCTCCCTCGCCATCCCTGGCTTCTGCTGTGACTCTTTGCCCAGCCACAGTCTCCAAGCCCTGTGAGTCACCTCTGCACAGTGGAAGGAGCTGCAGCCTGTGGGGCTCAGCGATCTAGGTCTGTTTGTCCCACTTGATCAGGAACATTCCAACTCTCCATCCACTGCAGAAGTACAGCTAGGACGGCCCCTCTCCGGGCTGAAAGACAGGCAGGAGGAGGCAGTGAGCCTTTCATTTCAGAGGGTGCCCTCTGACATTCTAGCGATGTGAGCTTCTCTTTTTCTGTTTCCTGTCTCTTCACTGTTGCTGTCTCAGGCTCACCGGCTTCCTCTCAGGGTTGAGTTCATTTGGATCACCCTCTACCCCCTTTTTTTCTTAATATGAAATGGTTTCTACTTACCATGTACCTTGTTTTCTCAGCTTTTTGGCATGTATGGTTTGCATCCATGTGTGTTTGCATGTTCACCCGTGTGGGGCCTGGGAAGGTCAGAGGTTGACACAGTGTTTTCTCAACCACTCTCTACCTTATATTTTGAGACTGAGTCTCTCACTGAATCCAGATCTTGCTAATTTGGCTAATCTGGCTAATGTGGCCAGCCAACTTGCTCCGGGAATCCTCTTGTCCCTGCCTCCCATGGGCTGGGACCGTAGGCAGGCCTCCACGCCCGCCTGGCAGTGAGTGGGTTTCTAGGATCTCAGCTCCAGTCCTCATTCCTGTCCAGCAAGTGCTTTACCCGCTGAGCCAACATTTGGTGTATTTTCCTTTAAGTGTGTATGTGTACGCCTGTTTGTATGTGTTTCTACATTCAGGTACAGGTGCCAGCAGAGGCCAGAAGAGGGCGTCAGGTTACAGCTTCCAACACCAGAAAACAGTTGAGCCAAGTTCTCTGCCACTTCCAAACAGTGATCACCTTTTGTGTAGTTTTTTTGTGACTGGCACCTTGTTTCCTTCTGAGACATCACAGAAACGCCCTGACATTTCCTTCTTTTCTCCTGTTGAAACAGGCTCTTGCTCTGTCTCTCGGCTCATCTTACGATTCTCCTTCCTCAGCCTCCTGAGTATTGAGATTGCAAGTGTTTGCTGCCATGATGGGCTAAACTCACATTTACATCAACAGCATGGTTATGGTGACGTGTGTGTGTGTCCATCTTCCTAGGTGTTAAGTGTTCTTCAATCACTCTGCATCTGACTTTTTTGAGACAGAGTCTTGCGCTGAACCTTCTTACTGATTCAGCAAGCTCTGAGGCTTTTCCCGTCTGGCCTCCCAGTGCTGGGGTGACAAATGTGTGCTGCCGTATTAGCTTTCTGCATGGGTGTTGGGGATTCCCACTCAGGTTCTCATGAGTCAGCAAGCACTTTCCTGAGAGTGCCATCTTCCCAGCCTGACCAGGGCTTTCTTACTATCTCCTGCTTTCCTTCAAGTCTTCCCGAAAGCCCCTTTAACTTTAACATCTTCATTGTTGTCAACAAGCTCTTCAAGGTAACCTAAAACATTCTTCCTGCCTCTGTAACCACTTCCACATTCTTAGGGACTTATTACAACACCGTTTCACTTCCTGATATCAAAACATGTATTAGTTTCTTAAGGCCACCATGATACCACTTCTGGTGGTGGTGGCTCAGTCAGGTGGAAGTACTTCATAAGACGGTTCAATCTCTTCAGTGCCTCTCAGGGCCTTAAATATAACGCTTTGATATTTTCCGTCACCTTTCTTCTCTGCAGGTGGCTAATGGTTTATTGTGTTTGTGTGGGGGTGTGTTTATGTCTGTGTTCACGCAGGAACACATTGTCTGCAGAGACCAGAAGAGGGCACTGGATCCTCTGGAACTTACATGCAGTTATAAGATGCCTGACATGGGTGCCAGGAATTGAACTCAGGTCGTCTGCAAGAGCAATATGTGCTCTCACCTGCTGAGCCACCTTTCCAGCCACACTTTTGTTGAGACAGGGTCTCATGTAGATTAGGCTGACCTCAACCTTGACCTCAGCTCCTGGTGCTTACAACTCCACCTCCCAGTGTGCCCAGCTTGGCTTGATTTGTTTTGACACTTGTATAGATAGTGTATATTTGTGTTTTGTCTCTGTCTCTCTTTCTCATTCATTCTGGCCTGCTTTCTCCCTCCAGAACACAAATAAATAATAGATAAGACTTCAGGAGGGCCAGCAAGTGGGATCTTTATTCTCAGCACTGGGGAGACATAAGCAGGTGGTTCTCTGTGGGTTCGAGGCCAATCTGTTCTATAGAGCAACACAAAGAAATTCTGTCTGGAAAAAAAAAATGGCAAAGGAATTTGCTTGTCAGCCTAAGTCCTGTCCTGGGATTCACACAATGGAAGGACAGAACTAACCTCTACAGGCTGCCCCCCTGACCTCTATAACCACGCCATGTCATGAACACATAGGCACACACATGCAACAAAAAAAATTTTAAGCTGGGTGAAGTGGCCCATGCCTTTTACATCAGCATTTGGGAGGCAGAGGCAACAGATAGTTATCTCTATAGTTTGAAGCCAGCCTGGTCTACATAATGAGTTCCAGGACAGTCAGGGCTATGTAGAGAGAGATCCTGCCTCAAAAAAAAAACAAACAAAAACAATTTTTTTTTTTACTTAATAAAGTTTTATTTTTCAAAATGCACAGCTGATTGAACCACCTGCTCATGCATCTTCACCAGCAGCCGGGGCATCTCCACCCTTTGTGTTTCTGGTGTAAATTATTTGGGCTCTGTGCTTTCAAACCAGCTTGATTAGTCCTTCACTAAGTAACTCCTGAAGGGCTGCCCTGGCCAAGGAACCACGAATCTTCAGTCTCTCAGAGACCACAGCTGGAGTAATAAGCTTATAGTTGGGAACTTCCTTACATAATTTGTCATATGTGGCTTTGTCAAACAGCACCAGGTTGTTGAGCTTGTCCTGAACTTTACCTTTGGACCACTTCTTCTTTTTGGCCTTGCCACCAGACTTATTTACTGGGTCTTTGTCTTTTTTGGCTGACTTTCCGGCATCCTTCTTATCGTCCTTGGGAGGCATGGTGAAGCTCAGAGAGCGGCGACGACCCCTGCAGCCTCACTAAGATGTCGGAAAAAAAACCCACAAAAACAATTTTTAAGACTTAGGAAAAGGCACACAGTAGTCCACTGGAGAGATGTGTGACGAATAGGTGAGGACTCTTCTAATAGTTTCCTACAAATGTGGCCACCGCCACACTCTGTCCGCAGAGGGCCTGCTTTCCCAGTGTAAGCTTTGTGCACGGAGGGTCCCCTGGGCCCGGGAAATGCTGTTCTCCTCTGCTCCTGCAACCCAAGGTTGGTCTTTCCAGCCTGGCATGGGCGGTGTGATGACTTCTGTATCTTCCTAGGGTGTCTGTGAGGAAATGACCTACGAAGAAATCCAGAGTCACTATCCACTGGAGTTTGCCCTGAGGGATCAGGACAAGTACCGGTACCGGTACCCGAAGGGTGAGGTAGGTGGAATTTGGGCACCTGGCATGGCTGCTTGTGGCCAGGCTTGGAGACTTGGCCTTGAGGCGGGCAGCCTAGGCATAGGTTTCTTTCCCATCAGTCCATCAGTTCCCAGCTCTGTCCCCCGGACCTTTGTTTTTCCTTGGGTGGTGGAGGACAGTGCTACAGAAAAAAGGGACCGGCCATGTTGATATCTCTCTCTCTCTCTCTCTCTCTCTCTCTCTCTGTCTTTGTTTTTTCCCCCTTACTAAGGGTACAGACCCAGCAAGGGCAGAGCCTGAGCTGAGTGTCCTTGGCTCTGCTGGATTTGGCATCTGAGGACTTCTGTAGCTAAGTCATGGTCTCCCGGGATGCCCAGACCAGCTCCTTTCTCGGGGAGTCATTAACTCTCCCAGAGTGCTCTAAGTGATATGGGCTCAGACCTCATGTGGCCAGGCCTTCTCCAAGGTGCACCATTTTTTTTTGCCTCAGCCCTGGACCATTATCCTTTCTTTGGATGTTTCCCCTTGTCCCAGGTGATTCTATCCTCCACACAGCTATATGTGCCAGCCCCAACCATGCTTCTAGACCCATGGAGACTTTCTCCAGAGAGACTTGGCAAAGCAGCCACACCGCTGCCTTTCCCCGCAGAGTCCTTGGTCATTATTCCAGGCCCCAGGTCAGAAAATAGGGATCACCTTGGCTGAAGAATCTCCTGCTTCAAGAATGTGCCCTGGGATGGTGACTAAATAAGCCCTGAGCCTCATGGGTAGACTCGTGTAGCTCTGGGTGATGTGAATAGTTCTCACATTGTGCTGTGAGGCGGAGCTCAGGTTCAGAACCCCAGAAAACAGTAGGAAGAAACAACGCAAGGCTGGGAGATAGTGCGGTCAGTTGCTTGTCTTGCAAAAAGGACCTAAAAACAAAACAACATGCACCGTGGCGTGCAGGCCTGCAATGATTGATCCTTGGGGCTTGCTGGCCAATCAGCCCAGGCTACACAGCCCTAGGCCAATGAGAGACTTCGCCTCAAGTAAGGTGGATAGCACCTGACAAATGACATCCGAGGTTGGCCTCAAAGCCTTCACACCCATGTAATCCCTGGATGTAAGCCCTTCCACACACATAAAGTATAATAAAGAGACAGAAAAGGCAGCTTCTCAGACATGGAGAATGTAGGGGAAATTGGTTATGGTATTAATTACCAAAAGAATTAATCAGGATCACCCCAGAACTCCTAGAGGTCAGCACAGGGCAGGGCATTGTTCCCCTGCCCAGTCACAGCAGGGGCCAAACTCTGTTGGGGGAAGGGTTTTGAAAAATGGATAACTGCAGAGAAGTGAAACTGTCCCCACCCCAGGCCTAATTCTCAGGTAAAAATGGAGCTAGGCATCGCCCCAGGGGCCAGCGGGTGCCCAAGGTTCCCTGCAGCAGTGAGGGAGGGAACAGGCAAGCAGGCAGCCACAGGTTGTTCCTGGGGACCTCGGGTCCCCGACAGTTGTCATACTCCAGGGAGTTGCCACCCACTGCCCTCCCCGTGTGCTTCGTGCTGTGGGCTGGAGGAGGGTAGTGCCTTTTCTGCAGTCACAGCTTCCAGCAACTGCGTCCTGGAAGGCTGCAGAGGGCCCCGTGGACGGCAGGAGGTAGCGGTATACACTGAGGACATGACAGCTCCAAGGAGGGTTCAGCGGAAAGTTCTCACTGTAGATGCGAGGGAGAGTCATCTAGAAGAGTCCAGAGCAGAGAGAGAAAGCAGTGGGCTGACCGTGGCCAGCAGACCAGACCCGCCATGAGAGGAAAATGGGGCAAGGGAGAGAGGGAAAGAGACAAGACCAAGAGACAGGCAAGAGAGGGCATCAAGAGAGCACATAGCCAAAGTAGCAGCGTTATAAGGATGGGAAACGGGGGGAGGGGAGCCCGTGAGCTGGAGAAGTTTAGGGTTGGGGGTGGGGTAGGAAGAGCCACAGGTGCTTTTGATACAAGGGAGCCTGGTGGCTAGCATGTGCTTTGGTGCGCCAGTGGGCACTACGGACAGCCATTTGTCCTGAGTCTCTTTCGGACCTGACAGTGGTCTCTTGGGGTGTGTCTGAGCCCAGCTCTCTCAGTCCTCCCAGGACCTAGCCCTGGATGGAGAAGGTGGCCCCCTCTCCAGGTTGCCCCCAACTTTCACCCAAGCTGGACATCTCACTAAATCAGCCATCGAAGGGCAGCTGTCCACTCCATTCCTTCAGGAACTAGGCTGCAGGGAGCTTAAACACAACCTCTAGTGTGGAGAGCAGCTCCAGGAGTTGGCAGGCGGCCCCCTGCCCAGCACCCTGGCTTAGTTAGGGTTTCTATTGCTGTGATGAAACAGCATGACCGAAAGCAAGCTGGAAAGGAAAGGGTTTATTTGGCTCACATTTCTACATTCAGAATTCAGAAGAGGAATTCAAACAGGGCAGGACCCTGGAGGCAAGAGCTGATTAATGCAGAGGCTGTGGAGGAGTGGGACTTACTGGCTTGCTCAGCCTGCTTTCTTGTAGAACCCAGGACCACCAGCCCAGGGTGCTGGACCCTCCCATATCAATAAATAAGAGGATGCCTTACAGCTAGGTCTCATGGAAACATTTTCTCAATTGAGGTTACCGCCTGTCTTAGGGTTTTTACTGCTATGAATATGCACAATGACCATATAAAAGGAAACATTTAACTGTGGCTGGCTTATAGGTCAGAGGTTTAGCTCATTATCGTCATGGCAGGAAGCATGGTGGGATGTAGGCAGACATGGTACGGGAGAGGTAGTTCTACATCTGGATCCTTGGGCAGCAGGAAAAGAGAGTGACACTGGGCCTGGCTTGAGCATTTGAAACCTCAGAGGCCACCTCCAGTGACACACTTCCTCCAACAAGGCCACGCCTCCTAATAGTGTCCTTCCCTATGTCCTGTGGAGGCCATTTTCATTCAAACCATCACACCTACTTTCAGATAAACCTATAACCCTAGTTTGCGCGTCAAGTTGACATAAGACGAGCCACAATAGTACCTCTGACTCCATTCCTCCCCTGGAGCCAGGCCTGAAGGACACCTTCCTTGCTTGTCTCTGTAGTCCTATGAAGACCTGGTACAGCGACTAGAGCCTGTCATCATGGAGCTGGAGAGACAGGAGAATGTGCTGGTCATTTGCCACCAGGCTGTGATGCGCTGCCTCCTGGCCTACTTCCTTGACAAGGCAGCTGGTGAGGGGCCTTGTCCAGGGCAGGTGGGCTGTGTGGGTGACAAGGCGACATCTGGGCATGTATGGCATGCCAGCCCTGTCCTTTTTTGTCCACAGAAGAGCTGCCCTACCTCAAATGCCCCTTGCACACAGTGCTGAAGCTCACCCCCGTGGCTTACGGTAAGGGAGCATCCCACATGTTGACCTTGGATATCTGTAGGGTTCTGTGGCGGTCCACAAATCCTGTCTTCCCATCCGGGACTTATCCTCTTTCCCTGCTCATTGCCTTTCTGAAGTCTCTTTTTCCGTTTTTCTTCTTTCGTTGTCTTAAGGTGGGGTTTAGCTCAGGAACTTTCTGTCTCAGCCCCTCACCAGTGGTGGAATTCTAATTCTGCACCTAGTTTGCTTTTTAGTTTATAATAAACTTGGTGTATGGGCCAAGTGTGTTGGCACACACCCTTAATCTCAGAGGCAGGCGGATCTCTGTGAGGCTAGCCTGATCTACAAAGCAAGTCCAGAACATCCAGGGCTCTGCTACACAGAGAAACTGTCTTGAAAAACCAAAACCAAACAAAAAAACTCAACTTGGTGTATTCACTTATGGTAGCTTATACTTGTAATCAGTAGGCTGAGGTAGGAAGATTGCCAAGAGTTTGAGGCCAGCCTTAGTTACATAGTGAGTTCAAAGCCGCCCTGAGGTAGAATGAGTCCTTGTCTTAAACAAAGTTCCGGTAACCACAGGAAGCCTCCTCAGTAATCCTTAACCTTAGAATATCCTGGATACAGCGCATTTGTGTCCCTCCCCTGCCTCTTACTGCAGATGCTCAGGCCACAGCCTGCTCTCCTGGGTCACGCCTGAGGAGAATGAAGCTTCAGGGAGCTGGCATTGTCCCTCCCTCCTCTCAGGCTGACTGGGCTTTCTGTGGCAGGATGGAGAGTGTCACTGTTCTTGGGGGCAAGAACAGAGTAAGGGATCCCATGTTGATCATGGAACTGTTGCAGCCACAACTACAAGCCCAGTCCCTGTGTAAGCTGCCTGGGTCCCCGTGTGGCACACATGGGCAGCCACTCATGGTTAAGCGGGAGTCTGCCAGGGCTCCTGTGCCTCCTGACGGTCCCTGGACCTGTGTGGGGAAGGAGGAGAGTAAAGCTGAGCTCTGTGCACTCTAGCCTCCTCCCCAGTAGTTTTTGCCGTGGGGCTCTGGCTGCCCTCTGTGTGTGGACTGCTTTGGTCTCTTCCTTTGGCAGGTTGTAAAGTGGAGTCCATATTCTTGAACGTGGCAGCTGTGAACACACACCGAGAAAGGCCTCAGGTAGCACGGGCTGGTGGCTGGGCTGGTGGACGTGTTCCCCTGGGGTGTCCCTGGCCAGCTTAGGGTGAGAGTAAGTCTCTTCCTGGGGCTGCTTGCTGTTTAGGCCTGTCTCGTGGGGCCAGGGTGGGGCTGTGGCTTCCTTAGGTGCCTCCCAAGGCCAGGCCTGGGGAGGTCCCTGGAGCTGAGCCACAGCAGGAAGCACCCAGAGCTGGGTGTGTTTGATTCCCTGACAGCTCCTAGGCAGCCCTGCCAGGGGTCTGAACCAGAGCTGGTCACAGGTAAAGGAAAGGCTAGCTGCCCACACATGGCAGGTGATGGTTCTTAACTCCCTTGCCAGTCCAGGTATCATGGGCATCTTCTATAAAACAATTTATTTAGTTATATTTTATATACATTGATGTTTTGCCTGCATGTGTGTCTGTATGAGAGTGTCGGATCCTCTGGAACAGGAGTTACAGACAGTTGCAAGCTGCTATATGGATGCTAGTTGAACCTGGGTCCCCTGAAAGAGCGGTCAGTACTCCTAATCACTGAGCCATGTCTCCAGCCCCATGAGCACCTTTTTAAGCTGGGCACCTTTGAACTTTAAAAAGGATCATGGACCTGGCACTGTTGCTGAGTTGGTAGAATGCTTGCCCATCATACACAAAGCCCTGGATTTGGTCCCCAGGAGGGCATAGTGACACAATGCCTGTCATTCTAGCATATGGAGGCAGGGGGGTCAGAGGTTAGAGGTCATTCTCAGCTACGTAGTGAGTCTGAGGGCTGCATGGGTTACATTAGACCGACCCTCAAAACAAAGCAATAACAGACCAACCCTGACTCAAAGGGAGGGTTCTACCTACTCCTGCAGTTCCTGGGGTCTGCCAAGAGGAACAAGTCTCTGTCCCTAAAGGTCTGGCTCTGTTATACCGCATGGGACTACAATTCCTGATGCCTTCCTGCAGGTGCTGGGATTAGGGGAAGCCACTGAGGGAGCACAGGACAGGCTCATGAGGCTGAGGGGAGTCTCAAGCTCCCATTCCTCGGGCCTGAGATACCCGAAGCTCAGCAGGCCAAAGATGCTTTGAGGGGATCATTCCCAGTGAGAGCTTTAGGAGTTTCATTGGGCCCTGTGGCTCAGTCCTAACAAGATAAACCATGCTACAGACTAGGAGATATCCATAGGCTAGAGGCAGGAAGGAGGTGCACTTAGGAGTGAGCCCCTCCCTCCCCTCTCTCTTCCCCAGCTGACAGTCAGCTGGGAGGTGGAGCAGCCTTGCTTTGGGTAGCACCTACTTGAAGTGGGGCAGGAAGTGGGTAGCATCCTACCCAGTCTTGTCCTGTCATCTGAGCACCCATCACGTGGTGGCAGGTCAGGGCCTTTCAGCTGTAGCTGAGGTGAGCATGTTTGTCTGTCAGGCCATTGTGGTCAGGACAGCAAGAGTGAGGTGCCCCATCTATTCCTGTGCGGGGTGAACATTCTTTGTCTTTATTGTGCAGAATGTAGACATATCCAGGCCTTCAGAGGAAGCTCTTGTCACAGTCCCTGCTCACCAATGACCACATCGCATCCAAGAGCCCTGGCAAGCCCTGGCTTCTCAGAGGGGTCGCTACAGGCCTCCTTGGTGTTTGCTGTGCTGATGATGTCACCAGGCAGGAACACTCCTTACACCCCAGGGGGGGCTGGTAACACTCGGACCCTCAGCCTCGCCTACCTGCCCCCTTGTTAACGGCAGGGTTGGGTATGGCTGCTGACCTGCTGCTGTGAATTCCTGGCTGTGTGCCCTGCTGCCAGCCCCTCTGCGACAGCTCTCAAGCAGTGCGCTCGCCAGGCTGGCTGCTTCGTGACGTGACGTTTGCAACCTTCCATGTGACACTGAGGCAAAAAGCCTCACTAGGACCTCCCCACCGTGGCCCGGCAACCCCTGGAAGAGCCCTGCTGGCTTCTCTGTAGCCACTCTTGAAGGCAGAGGTTAGCTCGCAATGGGACCTCGGGTGGGGGCTGCCCAGGCGACGTGGAGCAGAGGAGCTGTCACCCGCATTTGCGGGCGCTCACGAGAACAGCATGTTCTCTTTGGTGTAAACACTGAAAAAGCGTCGCCCCGTCCTCATGCCTACCACGCTGTCCACTGAAATCCAGGATAGCTGGGGCCCAGGCTGCCTGACCCTGGACCGTCTCACAGGGGCCTTGCAAGGGCAGCTTCATCAAGTACCTTCTTGGCGCGCACACCGAAGTGCTTAAGGAAGCTGGTCTCCCCTCCCTGGCCGTCACTGTCCACACAGGGCTGCACAAGGGGGCATGTGGTAAGTGGCTCAGAACTGGTGGTCCTGTCAAGCTGTCCCCTTGTTTGTTGACCTCCACCTGCAGGACTGAAGAAGAAGACAAAACGCAGAGATAGCTCCTGGCCAGGGGAGGAGTCCCTGGCCCCATCCTAGTTTTAATTCGTATACAAATTAAGCCCTAGTGAAAACCGCCTTATGAAGCCCGGTGCCTCTCATGCCCTGAGTTCTCATGGGTCCAGGTAGCAAATTCAGCTGCCCAGCAGGGTGATAAGCAGGCTAGGAAGCAGAACAAGAAAGTTTCTATGACAGTAACTGGTGCTCTTGCCAAGGGGAAGCCAGGCCCTGCACCCAAGAACCTTTCCAGCCCCAAATATGGCAGAGCAGTCCAGCCCTGCCAGCCCTGGGCTGTGTAGCTTGCGGATGCCACCCGCCCGGAGAAGTTGGTGCCATTACCCCCTAGCCAGCAGCTCCAGACAAACTGCTGCCTGGGTGGGGCTGGGACAGGACTCTCTGGGGCCCAGCTCATCAGCCCTCCAAGCCCTAGCTTGGAGCCGGAAGACCATACCACTGCCTTCGGGACATGGGGTCTACGGCTTTTGCTCCCATGTCTCTCAGAGTTTGAGTGATGTTTGTCGCATTATCTGGACACACTTGTTAGCCATAGCAGATCCCTGTGGTCAGCGGCTGTTAATAAAAGCTGGATGCCACTTGAGGCGAAGACCACCAAAGCCTTTTTCCTCTGTGCCCAGGGAAGACAGGAAGCGTCGGACTCAGGTGTAAGAGTGGAGGGTTGAGGCCGAAGGATGTCAGTGCGGCAGGACGTGTGCTGGAACGGCCCCTCGCCTCAAGCACCTAGAAGTGGCCTCTGCAAGGCAGCTGCATGTAGGAGTGGCTGCCGTGTTTTAGCTGAGATGGTTCATGGGAGGAACTGCCGACTCTGTCCTGCTTTCCCTAGAATGTATGGTAGCGGGCTTCAGTTGTACATTGCACTGTGTCCAGCATTCTTTGCAATAAATAATTTTTAAAAAACAGTAATCTGAGGTGGTATTTGGTAACTAGTTCTCTCTGTGTGTGGGTGGGTGGGTAGGTGCATGGTGGTCTTTCTTCTGCTCTGTTGTCACCTGGTGTTGTAGGCTTTCTCATAGGCATGTATTGGAATTCTTCAGTCAACTTCTGCCCAGGGGCCCCCCCGTGAAAAACACAGCAGGTGTGGTGGCACACATCTCTAAACT